GATAATGAACCCAGAAGAGCTGTGACTCTGGTCAATACCGGCCTTTCTAGAAGTAATGATCCCAGAGAGCAGTGATTCCTAGCAGCCGTGACTCTGAGGGACAGTGACTGTGGCAGCTGTGAGCACTTGGACAGCAGCGGCGCCAGGCCACCACTCCCCAGGCAGCAGTCACAGAACCACAGGGCCCATGTGACATCAGTGTGACCCCGGTCAGCGAAGTCCCTGAACAGCACGGGTCCCACACTGCAGTGACCCCACATGGCAGACAGCCATGTCCCCAGGCGGCTAGGACCTGAGCCTTGCTCTGCCACTCACCGGTTGAGGGCAAACGTGTAGTGGAAGCAGACATTGTGCTGCTCAGCCACATCGCAGGTGGGCAGGGCCTGCAGGGTCTCCACCAGCCCGATGATGGCCGAGTAGTCCTGCGGGGGAGCAGCGTACACTGGCACGATGGCCTCTGGCAGGGGGGGCCCTGACGGAAACCTTGAGTTTGGGGTCCCCTCCCATCCCTGACACGCCATCTTCCCACCCGCCACACCTTACACAGAGAACCCACCGTGTGCCCCAGCTTCCCTACCGCTCTGGGAGATCGTGACATGATCATCCCCTATTACAGGTAAGAAAACCGAGGCTCGGAGACATGAGATCATTTGCTCAAAGCCACCAGTGCAGGGGTGGCACAACCAGGAGACGGACTCGGGTTCTTCTGACCCCAGCCGCCTCTCTGAGGGCCACACACCTGCACATCGCGGTAGGAGAGCAGCAGGTTCATGATGATGTCGGGGCTCAGCAGCTCCACGCTGTCCAGTCTCCGCTGCAGGCGGGCCAGCTCCTGCCGCAGCTGCGGCCCACAGAACCGCTCCCGGGCCCGCCGGATGTCCTGCCGGATGGTCTCCCGGAAGTAGCCACTGATGCCCCCGGCCGAGGAGGGAGGGGGAGAGAATGATGGGGCCTGTCCCTCAGCCCCAGCCCGCTGTGCCCTCACCAGCCTCCTCCTGGTGCCCCCTCTCTGCACCCCATTACCAAGAGTCCGTGGGCGTGCTCTCCAGCAGGCGGGCCAGTCGGCCCACCAGGGGCGTCAGCAGGGCCTCAGTGCCCACCCCGGCCTGGACCAGCCCATCAGCCAGGCCCCTCAGGAGGCCCGGGTCACCGCACAGCACCCGACCAGTGGCTGTCACCACATAAGGGATCAGCGTGTAGCTGCCAACACAATCCTGGTGGGGGGGAGGCAGGAATCGGCAGGTCAGAGGTCGGCACCGGGTTAGAGAGGGGCAGTGAGGGGGGGTCAGAGGTCAGCACCAGTGGGGACCGGAACAGCAGAGAAGGGGCACACATCACGAAGGTTGGCAATAGGGAACAGACGGCCACATGGATGGCAGAGGAATTAGAGAGGTCAAAGGTGACTGAGGATGCCAGGAAAGGTGTGGAGGTCGAAGGAGCAAAGGGTGGCTTCTGCTCACCGAGTTCTTCTGGAAAACATCCTCCTGCAGGGGACAGTCAGATTGGTATTCTGGGTAGTCCCCCCCCACCTCAAGCCTGCCCCTACCGGCCACCTGGCCACCTACCCGAAGGGCCTGCAGGTCAGGGAGGTCAGCCTGGGAGCAGAGGAGCACGTTGTTGGTCATGCTGAAGCTCTCCCGCACACCAAGGTGGTAGAACAGGGAGGGCTGCGCCAGGGAGCTGCTCACCTCCAGCATCACCACGTCTGCGGGCACACAGGTGGAGGCCCTGAGCCATGAAGCCTAGCTCAGTGGAGAAGGAGGCTGGGGATCCACCCTGGCTCAGATGACCTTCCCATGAGACTCCAGCAGGGTCCAGTTTTGCTCTGGCCTCAGTTTCCCCCTTCTAGGTCCCTCTGGCTCTTATACAGAACAGATGATATCTGTGGTGTTGCAGAGAGGACGGAGCTCAAGGGGCTGGGACCTTCATCCCACTGTTCAGAGCCTGTGGGCACTGAGCATGGAGGAGAGGTGCTGTGCACCAGCCACCAGCCTGTTCCAGGCCATTTGAAAGGCAGGTGTTGCACCGACATACCCCGAGTCCTCAACGCAGTCTCTTGAAAGGGGCCGCACCGGCAGCGTGTGTAGACAGTGCTGTGCCAGTGTGTGTATAGCTGTTTCTATCTCTGTGTGTGACAGTGTCTGCGAGGGCCTGTATGAGTCAATATATGTGCGACGTGTGAGTCTAAGGCCATGTGTGTCTTTGTGTCCTCGAGGTCGAGTCAGACTTCATTTTTAGGCTGCGATTTTAGGGCCATCAGACAAGCTTGGTTCCCAGACTCTTGGGTGAACAAATTAAGTGTCAGGGGCGGGGCGTCCGGGTTGGCGGAAGGGAGGGATGACCAGCGCGGGAAGAGCCACCTTTCTGGCCCCGCCCCTAGCGACCCTGCCCTGCCTCCAGCTCCGCCCACTACCTCGCAACCTCAGGGGCCTCATAACCTAAGCTCCCTCGCCCAGAACCCCGGGCCTAAGGGTCCCTTAGTTTCTCTTTCCGCCTCTCTAGCCCGATCCTCGGAAGTAGTGTGTCACCGACCCTGGAGTCCAGTCCCCCAAGTACGGCCCCTTTCCCTAGCCCAAGCTCCACCTCCCAGATCCGCCCTCACGAGCTCCACGCGAGATCGTCTTGAGGCTGAGCCCTCCAACCCCAGTCTTGAGATACCACACAGTGCCCCGCTCCCAGCCTCGCCGGGATCCTAACCCCGCTCCCCAGGCACAGTGCCGACTCCAGAGTGCTTTAAGCCCCATCCCCGGACCCCGGAGGCTCCGGACCTGGATCCACTAAGTCCCAGCCCGAGCCCGGCCGCGCTCCAGATCCCCTAAATTCCACTTTTATCACGCCGCTACCTCGAACCCCTCAGCCTAGCTCACCTTGTGCCCCCCAGGACCCCACACCCATCTCGGGGTCTCCCCGGAGTCGCCGAACCACGCCCCTTTCGGCCCTCCCTGGGACCCTAAGCCCCGCCCCGGCCCCGGCCCCGCCCCCAGCGCGCGCTCACCCGCGTTGTAGAAGGAATCCAGCGCCGCGGTGTCTCCCAGCGCCAGCGTGCCGAAGGGCAGGCTGCGCAGCTGCGGTCGCGGTCGCGGCCCGGGGAGCTGCGCGCAGGCCTCGCGCAAGCAGCGCAGGGGCAGCGGCTCCGCTTCGGCTCCCGCCTCGGCCTCCAACCCGGGCTGCGGCTCCCGAGTCAGCACGTAGACCACGCTGAGCGGCCGGCTTCGCGCGCAGCCCCGGCCGGGGGGCGCGGCGTGGGGCCGACCCCGGCTCAGCGCCTCGGCCAGCGGGTCCTGCCAGCAGCTGCCGGCGCGCTCCAGGGCTCCGGACCGCAGGCACGGCCCTGCCGTGCGGGAGCGCTCGGGCGGCGGGCGCCCGGCTCTGGGCACCCGGGGAGGGGCAGGAGCCAGTGGCTACGGATCCAGGGATCTCAGGATCGGGAATCTGGTACGGGAGCTGGAAATCCAGACTCGGCCAGAGGTCCTGTTCCGGGAATCTGGAGCCCAGGGCGAAACCCGGGGTGGGACTTGCAAGGTCCTGAGGATCTGAAGTCGGGGATTAGGTCCCGGGAATCGGGGACATCCAGTGATCCGCGGCTCAGAGTCACGTAAGGGATCCCGGGAATCGGTCCGAGCGTTTCCACCACCCGGACTCCGCAGGAAAGAGTCGGCCGTCGCTCTCCCCTGCCCTCACATGTAGGCCGGGCCCAGCCCTTTCCCGGCCGACTGGGAAAGCTAGCTCCACCCTCGGCCCTGGGGCAGAGCCGCTCCCTAGCGGCCCCGGGACTTGGCCTCTCCCCTCCCTCCTCTCCTGCCAGAACCACCGAGACTGGCGGCTTCCGGAACAGCCTGCCCCCCTGTGCTGACCAACCAGTGGTTGGTCTGATCAGGCAGGCGCCTGTAAGATGCGTGCCCAGGCCAGGGCTGGGGGGAAGGTGTGAACTGCAGCACCTGCCCTGCAGGGATCTGTTGAATGAGTGGATCTCCAGAGACATCAGAGTGCTCAGAACACAGTGAAGAGCCTACATCCTCCGGGGCCCTGCTGTGCAGGCGGGGAGGGACTAGCAACGAGGAAGCCTGCTTCCTGGCCTGCCAGGAACGTGGTACTTGGCCTCTGAGCCCAGGTCTTTGCCCTTTCTCCAGAGGGCTGCTTTCCCCAGAATCTAACCTGCTATGGAGCCTTGCTAACCTCTGACCTCCACCCAAACATGACCACGGGACCTGAATCCCCACACAAATATTTCTCCACCTACCTGAAGAAGAATCAGAAATTTCAGCCCTTGAGCTACCACAACTGCACAGCCCCCCAAACCCCTAACCTTCCAGTGTGAGTTAGTGAGGCAGCAGTCTGATGTAAACCTCAGTGGGTTCTGGAATCAGGAGCTGGGGATTTAAGAGAGTCTCCAAGATCACTCGGCAAGCCCAGGACTACCTGTCAGACTGCAGTTACCATAGTCTTAACTGTGTGTTGCTCTGCCACTTTCTAGAATGTGACACCAGCAAGGTAACTGCTGGATAACCGTTACCCTGTGGAAGAAAAATGCACCCTTCCTGGCTTGACTCTGAGTTCAAACCAGCCCCGAATGGGACAGGCAAGTAGTAGTAGAGAATGCGAACTTGGCTCACAAGAGACGCAGGGGTGGAGAACAGATGACTTAGAAGGCCCAGGCATGGGTCAACAGGGTGAGATGCTGCGTAGGTATCCCCACAAAACCACCTACCTGTAGGACCTGGAGGACACCAGGGGGCTGTCAGTGGGTGCTTGAATCCTTCCAAGTCCTCCACTACATGCTCCTCTGCCCTTGGCTTGCACACCTCTAGAGATGGAAGCCTCACTACCTTCCGAGGCCAACCCTTCCATCTTCCTGACTGGAAGGTCTTCCTTGAATGGAGCTGAACCCTGTGTCTCTGCTCCGCCCTCCTGAGTTTTTCCCAGTAACTGGGAGAGTCCTGCAAGTCAGGAAAGGTTTAAAGTGATTTTATTTTTAAATGAGGGCAGGAGAGCAGAGGCAGTTAGCAATGGGGAGGGTAGCCAAGGGTCCGGGAGCTGAACGGGAGAGATAAGAGGACCGGCTGCCAGGGTATCCTAGTGAGCATTTTGTGAACCTTGCGGTAAGGGTGGCCCACGCCCTGGCCTGAGGCGCAGTCGATGACATACTTGGGAGCTGTGGCCTCAGACACTGCGTAGCACCCACTGAAGTTGGCCTGGTAGCGTGATCTGTCCCACCTGGCACCGTGGACAATCAGCACAGTTGCTGCTGCTCTGCATGGTGGTCCGCATTGTGGGTGGTAAAGGGCTTCCTGTAGTGGGAGCTCAGGGAGTCCCCTGGCCGGGAGGGGTTGGAGGCACCCTGGAGCGGGACACCATGCCTGGCCCCCTCGGAGAGATGATCTCGCAGGAGCCTCAGAGCAACCGTGAGGGGGATGTTAGCAGGCCCCAGGAGAAAATAGCAGCACCAAGGAGCCAGGGGCTTGTCCCCAGGTCACCCGGCCAGTCACAGGGCTACTGGGACTTGAACTCACGACTGTGGCTCTGAAGCCACTAGCCCCTCCCCCGCCTGCCCCTCCCCAAATCCCCAGCTCCCACCAGCAGCCTGAACAAGTCTGCAGGGTGGGGTAGGGGAGAGTGGGGTGGGACTTCCCAGTGCCTGTGCGGGCAAGGGCACCTCCTCATAACCACTTCCCTCTTGGAAATCTCTCAACAGTCACGGTGTCTCTGAAAAAAAAAAAAACAAAAAACAAAAAAAAACCCCACAAAACAAAAAAAAAAACCCTTTCCCGCTTCCTCTGCCAAAGCAGATAACACAGACACTCAGCAGGGCCTCCAATGGCTCCCACAACCTCTCTCCCGGCCTCCTTGCCCATTTTACAGGGGAGGAAGCTGACACGGAGGGCACTTGCCCAAGGTCACATGGTTAGTAAACAAAAGAGCTGGATTGAAACTCAGGACTGTTTGCCTCTAGAGCCCAACTTGTTCACTCCTGCACTATTCCATCTCATGACTGCCATTTCTCAGATGAGGAGACTGAGGCCCACAGAGGGGAAGGAATTGCCCTGGGTCATTTATGGAGGTGGTGGTAGCACTGAGGAAGGATCCAGCCTCCCTTAACTTCTTCCCCTGCTCTGGGCCCCACCTCAGGCTCACGCGCCTGCCATGCCCTCTGAGAATTTGTCCAGCACCAGCTGGTAGTGATCTGCCTCCCCAACGAGGCGGAAGGCCTCAGAGTGGGCAAAAGTGTGGTTGCCAATAAAGTCCTCCAGCTCCCCCCCTCCCCCCCAAGCTCCCAGGTACCTGGGGGGAAGGAGGAGGCAGGGATGGAGGAATCCTCAGATCCCACGGTGGGGATTCAGAGTGCCAGCGAATTGCCCCCCCCGCCAAGGCCCCTGGGGCCCTGGGGGGAACTTACCCTGAAAAGCGAGCTGGCGCAAATTCTCATTCCCCAGCCAGAATTCAGACTCGGGCTTCCAAAACCGGCTTTGTAAGAAGACCAAGAGCAGAATAAACCCACAGGACCATCCTGTTGCTTTTGGAACACTTAGGGAGGCAGAGAAGGCCAGCACAGGAGACGGGGAGAAGCAGGGGGCAGGTCAGCAGAGAGCGGGCGCACTGTGAGGGGTGGGCAGACACCTGCCCCCTCTTTGAACTGGGGGCTTGTTGATAATGTGTGAGTCCGAGTGATCTTTGCCTGTGAATAGTGATGAACTCCACATTCCCTTACTAACTTCTGCTGACCGTCCCCCTCCTGCCGGAGCCTGACAAGTCCCGGGGTGACCGAAATGAGAGAAACGTGGGGCCTGCCCTTGGAGGATGGTCAGTCCTGCTGGGAGTCAGATCAAAACAACCTGCTCTAATTTAGAAGAATCAAGATATTAGAGCAGAGAGGTCACCTCCAGAGTCCCAGGCTCGAGTCCTGGCCTTACCCTGACGTCCCCCAGCTCCCACAGCAAGCCAAGCAGTCCCCAGGCCCTACAGAGTTTCTCTCCTCAATACCCTTCAGTCTAAGGGCCTCTCCTTCCCTGGCGGCCCGGACCCCTGCCGTCCTCCTAACCTGAGTCCCGGCCTCGGTCCTATCCCCCACCGCAGTGCACCTTCCATGGTGCAGCCCGAGGCTTTTTCCTAAAACCTAAGTCTGACCGGGTCCCTCCTCTGTTTACAATGCTTCCATGGCTCTCCATCGCCTCCCATGCTCCTCAGTCAGCCATTCCGTGCCCTCCATAAACTGGCCTCTGTAGAGGCCCTTAATCCATGCTTGACCTACACCAGTCCAACACTGACACGCCTGACCTCTTATCTGTCTTCAACTCATTCACACGATCTCCTCAAACCCTCTCGTCCTCTCCTGCCTCCCTGTGTGTTTGTCTTTCCATCTACCTGGAATGCTCTTCAGCCCCGCATCTATCTAGAGAACTTCTACAGAGCCTTCAAGGCCCTTTCAAATGGCATCTCCTCTGTGAAGCCTTCTCAGACTTCAAGCCCTCTGGGAGCTCAGTAAACGTTTGCCGAGGCTGGGAGTTCCTCCTTGGAGGAACTTGGCTCCAGTGGGCTCTGGCTCCCCCTAGGGGCCAAGAGGAAAAGTGTCCGCTGGACCTGGCCTGGGAGCCCTTTGAGCCTCCCTGACACTCACCAGCCCCCGACTTCTTTGGTGTCCTTGTCACAACAAGCCGGGAGGCTCTGCCCTCGAGTAGGCATAGACAGCACCAGCCACTCAACGTGGCACGCCGGCTCAGCAGCTCCTGGCAGCTTCTGGGGCCTACAGAAGGGGAGATGGGCTGAGGGGAGTTGCCAAGGGGGGTTGCCAACCCTCACCCTGCAGACAATGGAACAGGCCAAGGGTGGGACCCTGGGAGCCCTCTCAGCTCCATCGGGCCCCTGAAGAGAGGCTCTACGGAGGGCTGGGCCATGTCTGGCGGCCGATCGACACCCCAGCACCACCTGATGCCAAGTTCCTGTCTCCTGCGAAGGCTGCCTCCAGGCACCACAGCAGGGGCGCTGGGTCTCCTGCCCCAGGAAAAGACAGAGTGTTGGCTCTGAGGTCTGAGTACTTCCAAGGCCCACAAACCAGAGGGGAGGTGCCCAGGCCCCTCTCCTAATCCCCCCCCAACTTCTCCCAACCTTCCATCCCCCCACAGTGGATTGCTCAACAGCAGCCGAGCAGAGACACCCCGGTCTAGTCCTGGGGACAGAAGCAAAGAAAGCAGAGGAAACCCATGGTCCCACACACTCAGCAGGCTCACCCTTGGGGCCCATCTTGCCAGGTGGTCCAGGTTGCCCTGAAATCCCGGAGGCCAAGGTGCCTTAAGTCCCACCCCGTGCCCAGAGCAATGAGGGACTCGAAGCCAGAAGTCAGATCCCAGCTGCACTCCTTGCTGGCTCTGTGATCGTGAGCATGCAGCTTATCGTCCCTGGGCCTGACTTTCCCGCTCAGCAAAATGGGATAGAACCAGCTACCTCACAGAGTCAACCTTAGGGTGCTGGGCGTCCAGCCTGGGGCCTGGCACACACTAGGTTCCTTGCCCCTCGGTCATGGCCTCTCAGCATAGACAGTAATCGCTGCATCCCCAGCCTGCCCACTTCACTCCAGGCCCCTGCCCGCTTCCCGGCATCCCTGACCTTGAGGGCCTGCAGCGCCTTTCTCTCCACGACTTCCTGGGGCTCCAGGACAACTGGGCAGGAGGACAGTTTTGCTGGCTTCCAGTTCCCTGGGTTCTGCAGGAAGACGCAGGGTTGGGTGGCCACAGGGTGGGCATGGGGGAGTGGGCATATCTCCTCCAGACCCCTTTGTGGTTCTCTTTCCATCTCCCAGGTTCCAGCTGTCAGGACCCTTGCCTCCAGAGCTGCCAAGGGTCAAGGGTTGGCACCACTTGCATCTATTTGCATAAATTTACAGTGCAGAGCCCAGATGATCAAACTCCCACCCTGCTCCTTGAGGCTAAGTGCCTGGGTGGGAGAAGGACACCCAGGGAAGGAGTGAGGGTTGGTGGGGAGGGCAACCTAGACGCTGGGCAGCTGGGGTGGCCCTGGGTCCTCAGGCAGGCTGGCTTCCCAAGGAAGAGGAGCAAAAAGGGAGAATGGGGTCCAGAGTAGGCCCATCTTGCTGGTGCCCTGAGGGAGGATGCCAGTTTATAAAGGGGCCAGGCTGGTGGGAGAACATGAAGCCTGACTCCTGAGGGACATCACACCCAGGCTAGAGTCAGCAGAGGGTAGAGGCATTTCCTCCCTCAGCCCTGGAGGCCGCGATGGAGGCCGACTTCTGATCCCGGTCTCTGGGGCTCTGTAGCCATCTCTCCAGACCTTTGGATTCACGTAGGGTTTTCCGCCTTTGCCCCTCTGCTTGTTCTGTGTCTTCCGTGTGGGATGCTCTCCTCTCCATCTCTCCCTGCGAAGCCCCACCTATGTGTGGAGGTCCAGGCCTCCTGCCAGCGCCTGCAGGGGTCCCTCCCTGGTCCTTGTCAAGTGTTATGACCACGGCTACCATTCGTTGGGCACCTGCCGGACTCCACGAGTCCTGCTGGGTGTGGTTTGTGTGTGGCCTCTGTTCCTTATGCAGCCCGGCTCATAGTCATTATTGGCCCTGGGTTATAGGCCTGGCACAAAGCAGGCACTCAATAAACATTGGTTAAATGAATGAATAAACAAGGAGAAACTGAGGCCCAGAGGCAGAACATAGCTTGTTCACTCTCTGGCACCTCTATGCCCAGAGCCACAGAGATTTTGCCCAAACTCCCCACCGGGGAGACACTCTCGGCAAAGTGACTTCATGCCCACTCTCAAGTCTGTTGGGGAGACCCCGGCAGCACCTAGGAAATAGTTGCTAATATAGGCAGGCCTGGAGGCTAGGAGGCCAGTGAGGAGGCAAAAGCCACAGTCCAGATGCGAGGGTTGAGGTCTGAGCTGAGGAGAATCCTCAGGGGATAGCAGAGGACAGGGAAGGCTCATTCACTTGTTTGTGCACCCATCCGTTCACTCGGTCATTTGTTCATCAAGCCTTCCCTGAAGGCCTTCTCTATGCCAGGCCCAGTGCTCGTGGGGGCCGGGAGGGTGGCGGTAGCAGGGGGTGTCGGGAAGGTAGAGGCCGAGTGTGCCAGACTGGATGGATGCATGAGATGGACTCTCTGAAATCGTGACATTTCAATTCCAGGGATCTCTCCTCCCCAAACTCTCCCACAGGTGTGCCAAGAGCTACAGACAAGCCTAGTTAACATGTGCTATTTTTTAAAAAAAGATTTATTTATTTGAGACAGAGAGCATGAGCGGGAGGGGCAGAGGGAGAGGGAGAGAGAATCTCAAGCAGAATGAGTGTGCAGCTGGAGGTGGGGCTTAATTTCACGACCCTGAGATCACGACCTGAGCCAAAAGCAAGAGTTGGATGTTTAACCGACTGTGCCACCCAGGTGCCCATCATGTGTTACTTATAATACATTTTTTTAAAGATTTTATTTATTTATTTGACAGAGAGAGACACAGCGAGAGAGGGAACACAAGCAGGGGGAGTGGGAGAGGGAGAAGCAGGCTTCCCGCTGAGCAGGGAGCCCGATGTGGGGCTCGATCCCAGGACCCTGGGATCAAGACCTGAGTCAAAGGCAGACGCTTAATGCCTGAGCCACCCAGGCGCCCCAATAAATTTTTTTTAATGTGGCACCTGGCAGGCTCAGTTGGTGCAACTCATGTGACTCTTGATCTTGGCCTTGTGAGTTTGAGCCCCATGTTGGGTAGAGATTAATTAAAAAAAAATTATGCACTGTTTATAATAATCAACAAGGAGATGCCTGGGTGCCTCGGTCAGTTAAGTGCGTGACTTCAGCTCAGGTCACGATCTCAGGGTCCAGGGATCCCCACTCAGTGGGGAGTCTGCTTATCCCTCTCCCTATGCCTCTCCCCCTGCTTGTGCTAATAAAGTCTTTAAAAAAAAATCAACATGGAAGTGACCCAACTGAACATTGATAGGATACAGGCAAATAAAATATCACCATCTGGACAAGTCATAGGGCAAATCTGAGCTCTAACAAAAGGGGCAAAGTTGTGGAACAATATGTATAGCCCAATCCCACTTTGTATTTTAAGAACACTGAATGTGTGTAAGTATGTTGTAAATTTACAAAAAGAGTCTGAAACAAATTGTTAAGCATAGTTATTTCTGGGAAGTGGGGCCCAGGGAAAGTGTTCCTCACTCTTCATACCCATTTCTGTATAGACCTTGTGTTCCCTACAGGCATTTACTACTTTGGAAAAAGCAAACATCTGATAAAGAAAGGTCCTTAACTGAGTGGAAAACCAGGAGATGGGGGCATTTCCTCCCTCAGCCCTGGAAAAATGGGCATTCTCCCCACCTGAACTTAAGCGCTGGGTGGGGAAGCCAGGGGAGGGGGAACCAGGCAGGAGAGACTGCGTGCACAAAGGCTCGGAGAAGAGAGAAAGCAAGACAGGCTGGGTAGCAAGAGGGAGATCCAAGTATTGAGAGAGGGGTGCTCGAAGGGGAGGCTGATGCCTGAGATGGGGGCTCTGATGGGGGTGGATGGGGAGGGGTGAGGAGGTGGACTCTTTGCATGGCGGTGGCGGCACAGGTTAGCTGGGAGGCTGAGAAGTGGCTGGAGCTGCTTGTGGGCCCCGCGTCCCTCAGAGCCCCCTCAGAGCCCATCCAGCTGGAGGGCAGGAAGTCTGGGCCTGGGGGAGGCAGAAGCCAAAGGCTGTGTAGGCTACACAGCTGGAAGGGTGATGCGTGCCCTGGATGCAGATGGAGCACGTGCACCTGCTCTGAGTCTGCCCCACATGCCACCAAGACGGACACTGCTATTACCCCACTTTACACGTGGGGAAGCAGGGCCAGAGCTGGGAAATCACTTCCCCCCCCATTCACACAGAGCAGTCGGGCTCCACAGGCTGACTTCACGGCTGCCACTGTGATCCTCTGTGGCCCCTCTGCTTCCTCGGACAATCATAGGATGAAATCTGATAACGCTGTCACTCTTAGCCTCATGCCCCATTTCCAGCAAGTGCCCAGCAGTGAGAGGTGTTATCAGTCAGGGGAGACTTCTGGGCGGGGCGGGAGCTGGGAGAAGAGGTGCGCATGGGAGGGCAGGGGCTTTCCGGGAGGGCCTGAGTGAGGAAGACCAGAAGTGCAGAAATGGCTGTGAGTCCTAGGGGCATCTCCCCCTTGGCATTAGGGTGGAGACCTAACTTTAGGAGCTGAGAGAGCCTGGAGATGCCTCTACAGGAGAATTCTGAACTTTTGCTTATTCTGGAGTCAGAAAAACCTGGATTCAAATCCTAGCCCTGCTCCGTCCCACTGGGTGATCTTGAGCAAGTGTACTTACCTTTCTGAGTCTCCCACAGACTGATCTATAAAGGGCTGCGGGGCAGGGGGATGGGGAGCGTTAAAACACGTATAACAAAAGAAAATATTTTAAAAGGTGATGGGGCGGCTCCATTGGTTAAGCAGTTAAGCGGTTAAGTGGTTAAGCAACTGCCTTCTGCTCAGACCATGATCCCTGGATCCTGGGATGAGTCCTGCATCAGGCTCCCTGCTGGGGGCGGGTGGGGGGGAGCCTGCTTCTCCCTCTCCCTCCTCTGCTGCTCCCCCTGCTTGTGCTCTCTCTCCATCAAATAAATAAATAAAATCTTTTTTTTTTAAAGTGATAGTAGCAGTCCAAGGCTGAGTTCCCATTAAGGAGAGGACGATGGCTATACCCCACCCCCCACAGATCCACACACAGCCCAAGACACGGGACATGAAGCACAGTGCTGGAAAGAGTTCTTTTATTTGGGGGCAGTGCCAGGCAGGGGGCCTGCAGGCATGATGGATAGAACAGGAGGTGGTTGAAGAACGCTCTCAGCTGCAGGTACCAGGCCCAGGACAGGAGGCTCGAGCCTGCTTGATAGCCCACAGGGGCCAGATATTGGTGGCCAAAGTTTTTCCCACCCCCAGTGCCTACAAGGGGGCCAAGAGGGCAGCCTCTTCGTCCTCCTTCCCCTGCGGAATCCAGGCCTGAAGGGGGGTCAGATTCTGCAGAGGCCAGACAGAGAGGGCACTCAGGGCAGTGGCCCTGCCTAGCTGGGCTCAGGACCCCCACCCCTGGACAGCAGGCAGTGGCCGGAAGCACACACTTTGAGGGAGGCTGCAGTGACCCGCCCCACCACACACTTGGCACACGGGGGTCTCAGGGCAGCTCCTCTTCCTAGAGGAAAACCAAACAGCACACGGCACACGGGGGCCTCAGGGCAGCTCCCCTTCCTAGAGGAAAACCAGCCACAGAGCCGCAAAACGAAGGCTTGCCTGGGCTATTACCTACTGGCTCTCCTCCCTGCTGGCAGCATGAGGGACAAAGACAGGTGGGCTCAGCTGGGCTCTCAGACACAGGCCCAGGCTGAGTCCTGGCCCCAGCCAACAGGGGGCAGAGAGAACCCCACGCATTGAGGAGGGAGAAGTGTGGCTCACATGGGTGACGTCAGGAGGAAGACATTGCCCTTAGGGCTGCCCCATTGAGAAGATAGTGCACTGGTGCTAAAAGGGACCCAAAGGGCAAGAGTGGGGTGGGGAAAGTGAGCTGGGACTCCGCTGGCTGGCCAGGTACTCACAGTGTCTGGTAGGTGCTGTCCTTGGCCTTGAGGAAGCGTAAGACGAAGAAGGCTGCTGCCTGCAGGCTCAGCACTAGCACAACGCCCCCAATGAAGCTGGCCCCATCAAAGCCAGGGCTGTGGGCTTCGGGAACTGGGGGGCTCCCTGCAGGGTGCAGGTCATAACGGGTTGCTGTGGACCAGGATCCCAACCCCACCCCAATAACAAGCACAGTTACCTGGAGGCCCCAGTCCTCACAATGAGAGCCTTGACCAGCAGGCTCAGAAGTTCAGCCCAGATCCTGTGGGCAGTTGGGAAGTGCCTGGTGGGACAGGGGCGGGCCTGGCTAGGGGGGCTGCCGGGGGGGGGGGCTTGGATCCAGCCCTGGCTCTGTTCCCATTTGCTCTGTGGCTTGATGTCTTTCACATTCTCTCTGGGCTCAGGACTGCATGGTCCTGAGAGCAATGAGCTCCCTTCTAGCCTCCCTATCCTACATTGGCCCGCTAGGGTGAGGATGGACCCAGAAGTTGGGCCTCTGACCCCTTCGGCTCAGAGCTTCTTTTGGCCTTGGGTCTCAGGGTTCAAAGCCCAGATGCAGATGATATCGTCCCTTTTCAGGACTCCTAAGTCCCGAGACCCTGGAGTCACCTGATGTCAGAGCCCTTAGAGAAGGAAGAAGTGGAGGCCCACACCCTACCAAGTGGACAAATGGAGACTAGGTGATGTGTGTCAGAGGGAGAAGCTGGGTTCTGAGGACCAGACCTGTCCAAAGTCACCTCACAGTGAAGACAGAGCCAGTCACACAGTGCTCCCTGACTCTTAACACTCTCCCACCCCACCCCCATCTCAGGGCCCATGGTTGCCAGGCTGTCTGGGTGACTCGCAGCTGTGCCACGTTAGCCATCAACCCCCACTAGGGATTCTATTTCAGGCCCTAGGCCAGGTGCCAGGGCAGGGCTGGGGGCAGAAGATCATTCTGGGGCAGTGGAGAGGGGCCCAGCTAGGAGCCAAGTCTACTTCTCGGAGGGTATAGCTTGTGTAAGCGGGTCTGAGAATATGAAGGGCAAAGGGTGGTCCCAGCTACAGCTCAGGGAGCCCCAGAGAAGGACACTGGGGGAAAAGGAGGAGAGGGAAGAAATGAGCTACCCAAGACTGATCTGGGGCTCAGCCAGAAGGAGCTGAGCCATCAATAATTCAGCCTCTAAGA